CAATGAACAAACAATTGCAGAAGTCACTTCGACTATACTTTTTTGCCTCTCTGGGATATATTCCCAGGAGTGGTGTTGCTGGGTCAAATGGGAGCTCAGTTTCTAATTTTTTGAGAATCGTCCATACTGTTTTCCAAAAGGGTTGGACCAGTCGGCATTCCTACCAGCAGTGAAGGAGGGTCCTTTTCTTGCCACATCCGCGCCAGCACCTGTTGCTTTTGTTCTTTTGGATGTGGGTCAGTCTCTGTGGTGTAAAATGATATCTCATTGTTTTGATCTGCATCTCCCTGATGATTAATGATGTAGAGCATTTTCTCATGTGCCTTTTAGCCATTCGAATTTCTTCTTTGTGAAAGTTTCTGTTCATTTCCTTGCCCCATTTTTGATGGGGTTGGGTGTTTTCTTCTTGTGGAGTTCAACCAGTACCTTGTATATCCTTGATATCAACCCCTTGTCAGATGTGTATTCAGCGAATATCCTTTCCCATTCTGTAGACTGTCTTTGTATTTTGATCACTGTTTCTTTTGAGGTGCAGAAACTTCTTAGTTTAAGATAGTCCCATTTGTCTATCTCTGTTTTCACTTGCTTGGAAAGTGGTGTGACATATTTGAAGACACCATTAGCTTCTATGTCATGAAGGGTTTTGCCAACTTTTTCCTCAATGTACCTCCAACAACGGCCAGGATCCAGAGATCATCACACTCAGCTCCTGGGAGAGAACAAGACAGAGTCTCCTACCCTATGCCTGACTGTCTCCACCAGGGCCCAACAGCTGAAGACCACCGAGGCCCAGCCAAGGCCATGCTGGGACCACTCTCCACACACTTGGATGAGCCTCACGCATAAAAGAACTGACAGAGGAACCCAGGTGTGTGGGACCCGGGGCTGAGATCTCCAAGCCTTCACAGTTTGGGACTGGACCTGCCAGTAACTAGACAGTTACACCCACCAACTGCCGTGTAACTCCAACAACGGCCAGGATCCAGAGATCATCACACTCAGCTCCTGGGAGAGAACAAGGCAGAGTCTCCTACCCTATGCCTGACTGTCTCCACCAGGGCCCAACAGCTGAAGACCACCGAGGCCCAGCCAAGGCCATGCTGGGACCACTCTCCACACACTTGGATGAGCCTCACGCATAAAAGAACTGACAGAGGAACCCAGGTGTGTAGGACCCGGGGCTGAGATCTCCAAGCCTGCACAGTTTGGGACTGGACCTGCCAGTAACTAGACAGTTACACCCACCAACTGCCGTGTAACTCCAACAACGGCCAGGATCCAGAGATTATCACACTCAGATCCTGGAAGCTTATCATCTTATCATCTCATTCCTAATTTGGTCAAACTGGCAGGCTACCAAATGTAACATGCCACACGGCAGAGTCTGGCAAACTCCCCGTGGTATACCCAGTATGCCAAATACCAGTAACAATGATGGGTCTCATTCTCCTAACCCTGAAAAAGCCTTGAATATGGCACTTTAAAAAAAAAATCTCAGGGCTAGGACGAAGAAGACGTTACTGTCACCTGCTCGAAGCAATCGACGAACAACAGGGTGGTCGTGATCGTGATCGTACCTTATAGATTCCGGTCTGATGTTGAGGTCTTTAATCCACTTAGATCTTACTTTTGTACATGATGTGAGGCAGAGATCTGAGCCCACTTTTCTGCATGTAGCCGTCCAGTTTTGCCAGCACAATTTGTTAAAGAGGCTTTTCCTGCTCCACTTCACTTTTCTTGGCCCCTTATCGAAGATTAGATAATCATATACTTGGGGGGAGATGTCAGTATGTTCAACCCTGTTCCATTGGTCTACAGCTCTGCCTTTGTTCCAGTACCATGCTGTTTTAATTATTACTCTTTGTAGTATAGTTTGAAGTTAGGGAGGTTGATTCCTCCCATTTTCTTTTTCCTAAGAATTGCTTTAGCTATTCGTGGGGGCTTATTTTTTCCATATAAATTTCAGGAGTGTTTGCTCCATTTCTTTGAAGACTGTCATGACTATCATAATAGGGATCACATTGAATTTGTACAGTGCTTTGGGGAGTATTGCCATTTTGACAATGGTAATTCTCCCAATCCATGAACAGAGGATATTTTTCCATTTCCTCGTGTCCTCGTTTATTTCCTGAAGTAGCATTTTGTATTTTTCTTTGTACAGGTCCTTTACTTCCTTAGTTAAGCTGATTCCTAGGTACTTGATTTTCTGAGGCACAATTGTGAACGGGATTGTTTTCTTCATATCACTTTATTCTCTTTCACTTTTTGCGTATAGGAAAGCCATGGACTTTTGGGTTTTGATTTTATAGCCTGCCACTTTACTATACAAGTCTATTGTTTCTAGGAGTTTCTTGGTAGAGGTTTTAGGGTTCTCTAAGTATAGTATCATATCATCTAAGAATAGTGAGAGCTTGATTTCTTCCTTTCCTACCTGGATGCCCTTAATATCTTTTTGTTGTCTAATCGCTATTTCAAGTACTTCCAGTACTATATTGAACAGTAGTGGAGAGAGTGGGCATCCTTGTCTCGTCCGTGATCTTAGGGGGAAGGGCTCTCAATTTTTCCTCATTGAGGATGATGCTTGCTGTAGGCTTGTGGTAGATGGCTTTAACTATATTGAAGAAAGTCCCCTCTATCTCCATTTTGGCGAGGTTTTTCATCATAAATGGGTGCTGGATCTTGTCAAATGCTTTCTCTGCATCTATTGATATGATCATATGATTAAAAATTTTAAAAAAATTTAAGAAAAGAAAGGAAACCCATTTAAATCTTCATTTAGGTCTCCTATTTACATTCTCCTATCCACTTAAGTTCTCCTATTCATACTGTTGGCATGATGAGTCGTTATATATTCAGAAATCAGGGGGAACCTACACTGTGAATGAGGTTAGTGTACAAGGTAGATGATGGTATTCCCATTAACTCTCCACAAGCCATTTCAGTGAGATGAATTTTCTTGCTTACTTGGAAAAAAGAATGCTTGATTTTTTTTAAATTTTAAGAACTTATTATTTAAAAAAATTTAATTGAGTAACCATGAGGTACACAGTTACAAAGCTGTTCATGGTTGGGTTTCAGTCATACAACATTTCAAAACCCGTTTCTCAACCCCTTATATATTTCCCACTATCAATGCCCAAATGGCCCCAAAATTGAAAAAGAAAAAAGTATGAACCATTTAATCTAAATAATTTTTTTTCTAATACGCACATTACAAGGGCTGGAGCTATAGCACAGTGGGTAGGGCATTTTCCTTGCATGAGCCAACCGGATTCAATTTCTCAGTCCCTGTCTCAGAGAGCCTGGCAAGCTATGGAGAGTATTCCGCCTACACGGCAGAGCCTGGCAAGCTCCACCTGGTGTATTTGATATGCCAAAAACAGTAACAACAAATCTCACAATGGAGACGTTACTGGTGCCTGCTTGAGCAAATCGATGAACAATGGAAGACAATGCTACAGTGCTACAATGCTATCAACGTCCCCAATTTCCCTCCTGCCATTTCCCATGCCCCCCCAACCCCCAATGGCCACTATCCTGCCTCTATGGCAGGATCTTCTCTTCTTTCTCTCTCTCCTTTTGGGCATTATGGTTTTCAAAACAGGTCCTGAGAGGTTATCATGTTTGTTTCTTTACCTATTTTCAGCACACACTTCTTATCCAGAGTGATCATTTCCAACTATCATTGTCATAGTGGCCCTTCTCTATCCCAGCTGCCTTCTCACCCAGCACTTGAGGCAGGCTTTCATGTAAATTATAGAATTAGAGAGAGATTCTATCAGTCACTGCTCATTCCCTGTACTTTACATCAGGGTGAACCCAACAGTTGGTCTGCAATATTCTGTGGTCAGAGAGTAGCAGCAATGAAGAAGAAATTTTTCTCTTTTAGACCACTTAATTTGGATGATGTGACTCAATCACTTTCAATTTGATTAAAGAATATTCCTGCAGTCCAACACCCTCTTCTGCTTGTCTATCACAATCCATACAAGGCTATCTTTTTTTTTTTTGAGAGAGAAAATGGTACGCCATTTCCGAAATGTAATTGTTTCTTTCTCTTAATATTAAAATTTGCCATGTGACAAATGACCCACAGTAAGGATTAACATCAGTGATAATGAAAAAGCGATATTTGTCTTCTTTCAAACCCATTCTCTTCAAACCCCGAATATCCAGTGGTGGGAAAAAATCAAGGAATTTTTTTGCTTCAGAAAGCTTGACTATTTCTTCATCAGACAGGCCCAGGGATTTCAGAATGTACTACTGATATTTGGAAAATTCAGCTTTAGTCACAGCCTTAATCTTTTCCCCTTTAACTTTGTCCTTAATTAGCTTATCTTCTGTTTTAACATTGATTTCTTCTGTTTCCACCTCATCTTCTGGAAAATCAGGGCAACAACAGAGTCCTATTTTGCTTTTCAATTTGTCTGCACATACCTTTAATAGGCATTGCCCATAGGCATTCCAAAGGCAAACAGACAACTTTTCCCTTCCAGTCTCTGGTACTGTACTGCAAACTCATATAGGGATAAAGGAAATGTGTGTCCCAAACGAAGCTGCTCTTTCATGTACTGATATAGGAAGATTACAAAGCACTTGCCCTTACCAGCCTGCTTCTCCAATATACATGCATTGACCTCAAATCCTTTCTCTATATTCCTTTTTTGTTGGATTTCTTTATCAATCTTGTTCAAAAATTCCCAACAGGCTGTTCCTTTTCTTTCCCACCACCAAGCAGCTTCAGTCAACCCACTAGAGTGAGCTCAGTGACCCCATCTCAGATTAATGGTATCAGCCTTTCCCCTCCCTTCGGAGACCAAGAGGCCCCCAAGGATGGATGATAAAGCACCTCCTTCACATCTCAAACTGAAGCGGAAACAACTAAGGACTTCCAAAATATAGGAGAATGATTACTAACCGAAAAAAAGTTAATGAGTAACATCTTAAAAATACCCAGCAGGAGCTCAGTAAGAACATGAGATGCCCCATGTGTTTGAAAGATGTTACCATTGCCTTTCATGGATTTTCTTCTCCAGATCATTTTCCTGTTCTTCATGCTTCCTATCAGGTTACAAGGATCAGGTAATTCTTCAATTTTTCTTTCAAAGGCATATATATGGAAATCAATGCAAGTAAATAGCTGTTTGTAATATATTTACTTTTATAATGGCAAGTGCATAGGGCACATGTTTGGGCATTGACATTAATCATGTAACTATACTGCAGACATATAACAGATTTATTTGATTAACTTTGAAACAGTGAATACCCAATAACTACAAGAGAGTCTACAAACTGGAGACAAACTTTTTACAAATCATCTAGTGAATATTTTCAATATTTCTTACTGTTTTTTTTAAATTTGAATTTGTCTTGTTTTTGAGATTGTTTTGTTCATTAGAAATTTATTTTAACTTTATCCTTTCAAATTTGCTGATTCTTTCCTTTGTGGGTTTGCAGTGTTAACCTAAAAATAAAGAGCCAAAATGAGAGACAAATAAATGTTTATTTAAATGATTACGATTTGGATAGCACAGATTCAAATGTTAATGTTAATTTTTAAATTTAATAAATAGCTATTAATTATACTGTAAGTGCTAGTAACACTTTTAAAGATAAGGTATCAATTATTAAGAAGTAGGAATGCTTATTTTCTAATGGATAGGACTAACCAAGTTGTTACAAAAAGAGTACAAAATCTGAGTGGGGAAGCACAAGGTAGTATTAAGGGGGTCTTCCTTCTCAACCTTCTGTTTTATTTTTAGATCCTCCACAGACAATAAAGCACAAAATGAATGAGACAGCCATATTGGGAGGAAATGTGACCATTTTCTGTAATTTGACAACTCCAGCAGATGTTGTGCAAATCACCTGGCAGAAGATCCAAGACTCTTCGCCACAAAATATTGGCACATATAGCAGAAAATTTGGCGAAAAAATTCTTCCACCATATCAAGATCGACTGCAATGCAAGGCCATAGAACCCAATTGCTCATTTATAACTATCCAAGAAGTGAAATTTGAAGATGAAGCCTGCTATAAGTGTCTATTTAATGTGTTCCCTCGGGGCAGCCATGGAGGACAAATCTGTCTGAACATTATAAGTATAGTAATGTTTAACAAAGAGTTGAAATTATGGGATGATTTTTTTCCAGGGAGTTTCAGATAAAGAATTCTAGAGAAAAGATATAATAAAAGACAACCATGAAAGAAGATTAAACATCATATGTTGTAATGGTTGTATCAACCACACATTTTTATACAATAAAATGCCAGGTGACAGGCATAAAATTTATGTTCTCTCATATAATATTTTTATTACATATAGTGTACTGACTTTCAGTCTGTAAAAATTTATGGTTGTGTAATATTTTACTGATAATATAAAGTACATGAATGAAAAAGTAAATGAGAAAAATATAGTAGGTAATAAAAAAGAGATAGTAAGTTAATATTAATAGAAATTTCTCAATATTTAGGGGCCAAACCAATATTACAGTTGTGGGGTATTTACCATGCACATAGCTGAGTTTGATATCCAACATCCCATATGGTCCTCTGAGCACTGCCAGGAGTAATTCCTGGACACAGAGCAGGAGTAAGCTCTGAGCATCACTGAGTGTGGCCCAAAACCAGGCCCCAAAAACTTTTTTCTTAAATTTAAAACTAATAAATATTGATTACTTATGTTATCATAATGTTACCTTTATTATGCTGTTATAAATTCAAATATTGGGGATCTACATAATGTACTAATAAGGTATAATTTTTAAAAAATTTGTTAACCCTCAATTTGAAATATTGTGGATATAGGAGATAAAATTATTTGTAAAGGTGAGCAAAGATATCAGGGAGGTACATACTTTCAAATTTGAGAGTCAGGTAGAAATATTGGTTAGCCAATGTTTAACAACACAGAAATCTGGAATGACTTATTTTTATGTTCAGTCTTGTTTCTTCTATTTCCCTTCAGCTGTATCTGTATTACGAACGGAACTCCAGACCAACCATGACACTGAAGATGTTAGATTGATTTATTCGGCTGTTGGAAAACCTGTTCCACAGATATCTGTTTTCCCCTCAGAAGTCTTGACTAGCCCACCAGAGGAATTCCTTGCTGAGAATCCAAATGGCACAGTGACTATCACTAAAACATTTAACATCTCCTTGGAGCGTGTGAAGGTGCTAAACATCCAACAGCTGATTGTACACATGAATCATCCTTTAAGGAAAGAAGAGAAGGTTTTACACCTGCCAGTGAGGTCAGATGGTAAGTAGAGCAAATAATTAGCAGAAATATTTAGTATTGAATTTCATAACACTGAAATAATGTATTTTGAAGAAATGTAAATCAACATACTATACAAACATCAATACATCAATACACAATCAAAACTCCCGAGAAACTTCAATGAGCTTGGTTATCGTGTGGATATGGTCGATCGTGCTGAATCCTTTGCAGAACCTGGATTGCTCGCATGGTTGTTCTTCAGCTATTGTTCTGCCAATCCTATTCAGGATCACTCGAGCGAACAGCCTGTAAATGACAGACGATAGGGAAATCAGGTGATAGGCGATAGTTGCCAATGTTGTGGATGTCTCCCTTCTTGTACAGTAGTATAGTCCTGCTGGTTTTCCTTTGGGATGGAATCTTGCATTCGGACAGGTAGTGTGTGAAGAGTTGAGCCAGTGTATTGATGAGTACTGATGGTAGGTTCTTCTGGTGTTCAGGTCTGACTTTGGCTGGGCCAGGTGCTCTTTGTTTCTTTATCGATGAGATGGCGTGTCGAATTTCTGAAGGGAGAATGTTGGAAATGACATATACATCCTGCTGAATTTGGTATGTGGGCAGGTGGACGTGGCTATTAAAGAGATCTAAGTAGAAGTCATGAATAATCTTCTCTATTGCCCTTCTGGAAGATGTGATAGATCCATCAGGACATTGGAGGGCAGTCATTTTGGTCTTGTAGTTGGTGAAGGACATTGTTACAAATGCTTTTCCCAGCTTCTGCCACATCTATGAGCACTGCTACTCTTCTCTCTTTGAGGTCTTCCTTGATCGCTTCTCTGCACTGCTTTGTGAGCTCGGACGTTTGCTTGTAGTTTCCTGAGGCATGTGCCAAACAAAGTTGGCAAATAAAATCCAGAGTTTTTGAAGACAGGCTTTTTTTGTGGTTATCTCTCTCTTGGCATTCTTTGCACAATCATGGAGGTGCCGAACCAGTCGATTGTATTCCTCGTCAATGTTGTCAATGACGGCATCTTCCCATGTTGCTGCAACAGAGCCAAAGAGCTCCCAGATAGTGGTTGTTCTGGGAGTTCTCTTCTTACACTTTGCAGTCCTTTCTCCCGGCTCTGTGAAGTAGAATTTTGCACTAAGGAGACGGTGGTCTGAACCCGTTTGAATTTTGGGACAACAGCGACATTGGTTAGGCAAAACTGTCGATTGAATATGATGTGGTCAATTTCATTATGGAACCATCCACTGGGAAACTCCCATGGCCAATGTTTAAATTTGGCCTTCTGGAACTCTGAGTTACCACAGATGGTCTTGGTTGACATGATGAACTCAGACAGTCTCTCACCCTGTTCGTTCCATTCTAGGCCATGTGTCCCAATGTGGACATCTTCGGCTGATCTTCTAGGTCCTATCTTGGCATTAAAATCAGACAATAATCTTGTAGAAGGTGTGGTCTTCTTTATAGATTCTTCAGGTCCATGTAGAACTTCTCAATTTCTCCTTCATCATAATTGGATGTTGGTGCGTAGACAATGAAGATAGAAACTGCCGGCAGTGAGCCAAATCTATTCAAGTGTAATCATCCGAATTGGCTTGTTAGGCATTCGAATGAATCAATGCTCATGGCTAAGTTCTTGTTGACAAGGACACTGATAACACCGATGCCACTTTTGTCACATGTTCCAAGGAACAGTTCTTCTCCAGTGTTAAAAAAGTCGTGATATGATTGATGCCTTCTTGTCTCGGTCAGACCAATGATGTCGTACTTGATCTTTCATGCTTGTACCATAAGGTCCTCAATGAATGCACCAAACATTAGCCAAGCAGAACAAATGCTGACTGACTTTGACCGTGAGTATGGAAAGGTCAGATTACAGCTGAATCTCACAAAGACAATGTTCATCAGAAACAGTCTTGTTCCTGATGTTCCATTCACTCTCAATGAACCACCATCTCTGAATGCAACAGTTAAGTGTACCTAGGTTGAGAAGTCAACATGTCGAATGACCTGGCACTTGAGTTGCGCAGGAGGAAGAGAGCGGCTTGGAATACCCTCAAGAGCATCAAAGAAATAGCTAAGAGAATGAAGAACCTCCAGCTCCGGGCATATCTCTTCGACTCCACTGTTCTTTCTGCATTCACATACGCCTCAAAGACCCGGGCCCTACGAAAACAGGATGAGAACCCTATTTGGGTCTCTCAAAGAGGAATCGAAAGAGCTATGCTTGGAGTATCATGCTTCACTCAAATGAGAGAAAGAATCCGGAGTTCCGACCTCCGGTGATCGTCAAGAATCAGGGACACTGTGTCGTTTGCCAAGGTGTCAAAAATCAGATGGGCTGGTCACGTAATGAGATTTGGAGATGACCACTGGACTAGAGCCATTACCGACTGAATTCCACGGGACATCAAAAGATCACATGGCTGCCCAACTATGAGATGGTCAGACTTCTTCGTCAAGACCCTGAACGATCAATTTGAGGCTCTTCGTGTTCCTAGAATAAGCAGATGCCATTGAGCTACACTAGCACGTGACAGGGACGAATGGAGACATTACTGGCACCCGCTCGTGCAAATCGATGAGGAACGGGCTATCAAGTGATCAAGTGATAGACACACAGTTAAGTGACAAGCAATTAAGAGGTTTTCTCTTTTGGTCTTTCTATTCTCTTATGGCATTTTAAAACATTTTCTTAATTTCTTTCCAAGAAATTTTTCCCAAAGTCAATTATATCTTCATCCTCTTTTTTACCTTTAATTAGTTAGCTTTTTCTCCAAATAAATATTCTTTAGATTCGGTAATCTTCAAAAGCGAAGCTAACACCAGTTTTATATTTCATCCACAGTAGACATTCTCTTAGCTGCCCAGTTATCCCAGGACAAACCATCCCTTTAAACTCTGAAAATTATATTTTCTGTTTAAAAGTCATAATAAAACACGCATGATTTTCATAAAGGATAATTGAAGCACCAAAGAAAGAATTTTACTTACTTTTCCCTTAATTAGAGCATTAACTTTTTGTATTTGATGTAAATATTATCACTTTGTTTTATTTTAGTCTTTTAAATGTGTATTTAGTTCTCTTTCTTAAAGAATATACACACATATAGTTTCCCTTTGGGGTGGGTCTAGAATCCACTCATTGTTTTTGGCAAGCTCTTTCTTAGCTTCAGTTTTTAATAAGTTCCTTGAGACTGCCCAAATTTCCTGTTTAATTTCTCAGAATCTCAACTGTATTATTTGAGACTCTGAAAAACTTTGTCAATTTTATTAGGGGAAAATTGTACCTAAGTATCAGACTTACTTTTTTTGACTTTTCTCTTTTACTGGACCTTGTTTCTCTAACTTGGTATTCTCTTATATCTTCAGAAAAGCTTTATAAAATTAATTCAAAATGTTCATGTTTTAAAGAGGATTACTTCAAACTTACCTAAATGGTTATGAAATTGTAATGTTCTCCTACTTCCCAGTTTTTTTTTCACCATTTATTTATCACCTTAACGACATATTTTTGGCTTCATTGTCAATAATGATCTTGTTATTATGTTTGGGAATTAATTTGCTTTGGCCTTTTCATAAGTACAAGAAACCACACTTTCTCATCCTCACCATATGGCCTTAAATAAAGTCTTTAATGGGTCGAGAGTTTGCTCAACAGGTCAAGCACATGCTTTGCATGTGGGCAGTCTGGATTTGATCCCAACATGACATAATATGCCTTTAGCACTGGCAGAAGCAATTCCCAAGCACTGTTAAGAGTATTTTTTGAGCATAGTAAGAGTATGACCTCAACATTAAACCAAAAGTAAATACAAAAAGAAATAGTGGTGAGAGCCTGGTTTATCTGCCAATTAGTTCCCATTACTTCTTTTTAAAGATATCTTTTGACTAAAGCATAAATTTTATTAAAATTTAACATTTAGAATTAACATTATATATTCCTGTGTGTTTGAATAATGCTATGTAATAAGCTTTGGATGTTAGTTATTGTTGGTAAATACTATTTTTTGTAAGTATGATCATATAGCACTTTTATATCACAGATAATGGCATAAGTTGTCTAAGTGGTCCATGAAAGTAAGCAATGAAGTTGCCAATGGTAGTTGTACATAAAAGGTGATTATTTCCACATGTGTTATAATGGAGGAAAACAAAAGTACTCTTTCTTATAGAATCTAAGTCGATTTCACCTATTTTTTAAAATTAATTTCAAGGTTTATATGTTTTGTTCCATTAGCTTATATCTTTTGAGGGCTGACATAATTTTATACTGTCAGTGCATTATTTACTCTCCCCTTGCTTCTTGGGCCTTTTGTAATATGTGAAGGATCTTATAGTGGATCCAAAACAGTAATGTTATCACTACACTTTAGACCATGTTTTATTCTTTTACAGTAATCTGAGGTTGAGGTTTTTGTGACTGTCTCACCATAAAGCATGCCATTTGAATTCTGAGATAGCAGAATAGCACTGCACTATAGCCCTGTCCTCCGGTTGTTCATCAACTTGCTCGAGCAGGCACCAGTAACATCTCACAACAAATTGTGAGACTTGTTGTTACTGTTTTTTGCATATTGAATACCTCGCAGGGAGCTTGCCAGGCTTTGCCGTGCGGGTGAGATACTCTCGGTAGTTTGCCAGTCTCTCCAAGAGGGGTGGAGGAATTGAACCCAGGTCGACCGCATGCAAGGCAAACATTCTACCCGCTGTGCTATCACTTCAGCCCTTAGCAAAACAGGCACAGAAATAGGTACAGAAATTATTCCATGCATGAGGTTAAGAAAAAGATTTTCTTTGGGTTGTCACAGAGCTCTCCTCCATTTCCCCAAAATTTACACTGAGAAAGCATCTACTTTATTTCAGTCAAAAATATTATAGTATAGTTTCAAATAAGTAATTATCTTTCCAAATCCATATAAGAACATCGTTGTAGGGGACAAAGCAATAGAACAGTGGGTGAGGGACTTCCCTTGCATGAGACCAACCTTGCATGAGGTTCAGTCCCCAGCACCCCATTGGATCCCATGGTCCCTGGTTTCACTTGATCCTTGAGCCAAATGTAGCCCTGAGCATTGCCAGGTGGGGCCCAAAACACAGAAACAAATAACCTAGAGGTGTTACAATTTGGTTCATTCTCTTTACCTTTCTTCTTAGCCTTTCCCCACACCAATACACTATTACTATCAAATTTTAGGTTGCTTTTCCCAAAATCCAATCTCTTTCCTTGATTACAAGTTTTCTTCAAAGTCTGGTGAGACTTTACAGGAGATATAGTCTTTAAAGGCTCTATGGTATTTTGTGAAGAGAGTTTTCTTTGTGGAAAGTGTGTAGTTAGTATCCAGGAGACCAATAGAGTATAAAGACCTTTATTGTGATTCTTTATATCCTAGTTGTTCCTTCTATTCAATATATTAAACTAGTCTTCCTTATTTTTATTTTCAACTGAGGGGTTAACACCTTGTTATAAAAAATATGCTTTTTTATTTGATATGGGTGCTTTGGGCTATACCTTCTATTCTATAATTTTTTCTGCTTCTTTTTTGTCATTTAAGCCCTCCAGGTTCCCTCCAGGCTCTGCAGTCTCTCTCTGATGTTTCTCTCAGAACGTGGAGCCTCTTATTTGCCTACCTGAGCCCAAGACATCTTTAATCTTGCAGTTTTATTGGCCATTCCTTTACCACTTTCGATCTCTCATAATGTTCTTTAAATCTCTTGGTAATAAAGGTCACTATTTTGCTTGTAGCTATATATTTTTATTGAATCATTTATTTTTGTTATTATGATTTTAATGGATCCTCAGGAAGGAGTAAATGTATTATTTTTACTGTGTGTCCCTTAAAATGGAAGTGAATCTGTTTCTTACCTGCTAAATGTCCTCTATTTAGGAGATCAAAATATGCTAATATGAAAAACATGTCTCTCCTCTAAATATGCTGACTATATAATTATTGTTTGTACATCCCACAGAATTATTAATATTTGTAAAGAAGAAATATCGATCCAGAAGTTTAGTCCCTGCTTAACTTTGGAATAAGGAGGGATAACAGGGATGTATAATTCTACTGATTTGGTTGAGAGTTCTGTGGAGCTGGCCTCACCCCTCTTTTATGGCCCATTCTCTCTAAACTGTTGAAACTGTAATTTAATTTCTTCCTCATTTCACTTTCAATGGTCTATGTGGCAGCTCACTGAAATGAAAAGCTAAAACTAAAGGCTAAAACAATGTGAGTTTGATCAATCTAACATAAGTAATATAAAGTTCAACTAAAACAAATTTACTTTCTTAATCATTTTTCAGCAAGAGTTAAATGTTAAAGGGAAGTTACTTTTTTCCTCCTCACTGATTATGGATAATTCAAAGCCACAAATTAACAAGGGGTGAGGGAACCCTCCTTTTTATGATGGCTTCCGTTTAATAATCATGAAAAGAACAAAACTATCTATCAGGAACAGACAAATGAATATCAAGTGTACCATAGTTCATATCACTTAACATAAACAAAAATTTTTAAGTCTCATCTCACTATTGACATTGAAAATCACGATAATTATCTTTTGTTGTGCAATTAAAGTGTAAGACATAATTAAAAAGCTACACAGAAAATGAAGTAGGTAGTTTAAGAAAATAACTGCATTATGATCAAAATAGCTGCTCTAAGTACAGTTGATATTAAAACATTGTGATTACTCTTTTCATAAGCATGCAGGTGCTGCATCACCTGAACTTGCTTCCTCATTTTGCAAGCATCAGACAGAACTGAACTTGCTTCCTCATTTTGCAACTTCACTGCTCTTTGGATAGTGTTCTTATCATCTGAAATCTTCCATTTTATCCCATCTGAACCAAATAAATTTGTGTCAATGTTAACTAATCCTTAGAAAATACTTATATAGACGATTATATAAAAATTAATTTTCAATACTAATTTTTATACTGTCAATTTATTTTCAGAGGTTATTACAGAGTTTTTAGACAATATTTTATCAAGTGGCTTATTATATTATGCCTAATCACCTCCCATTATTAAATAGTTTTTTTATATTCCTGAGAAAGGTAAAAGGATATTAAATGTTATCAATCTTTTCTTTGAGCACATTTTATCAATTTTAATAAAATGAAATATTCCAACAATTTAATGATAAATCAGAAGAGCACTGCAGAATAAAGGTAGAAAAATGTAATGCTGTATTAAAATTGAAGTAAAGTCACAAAAGTATGTTTCTGAATTGTGTTTTTCAGGTGCTTCAGGTCATATTAAATGTTTACTTATGGCTCCTGGTGTATTTTTCCTTCTCTTGATTATTTTAATTGCAACATTCTGCTTTTGGAAAAAGAAAAAGTAAGTTGTATTGTTACCTGTATTTGATAGAGAAGGTGAATACGATAGTTTCATATCTGAAAAAGAGAATTTCTAAGGGCTCTAGCAACATTCATCATTGAAAGAATCACCATGGGAAACTATTCCATGTGTTAAGTAGATTTTGCAGTCAAATATTTTTCTTTTTAAAGTGATTACCTAGTTGAAATTTTATAAAAGTTGACTCTAAGTGATCATTCTTACGGATTATTGCATGTAAGATTAATTCTTTAGGGAAGATTTTGACACTAGAGAGCAATTAGACATCAGATAATACATTGATATGGAGTGTTGACTGGGTGAGAGAAAAACCGCTAATTGAAGACTGATAGAAATATATAAGTGGAAAACTTGATAAATCTCAAGCCACAGTAAGATAAGAGTGATTTAACCTAATTGAACTAATATAACAAATATAACTAATACAATGAATCATTTATTAAGAAAGTACTTCTTGAGTGCCTATGTATTGCTATGCATTGTTCTCAGTGTGAAAGACAGTGACATAGCTAAACTGAACTAATTGGCAGCCTTCAGACACTCGTGCTCCAAGTGAGTACATGCAGACAACAAAGAAACCAAGAAACAATGTAATACTGGGCATGGATATTTATCTTTGAAAATGAAGCAGAAAATGTAATTGAAAGAGACTATAGCACTAGTAAGTTGAGTGTCTCTGTGCTGATGAGACTTAAATTTAGAACTGAGTAATTAAAAAAAAGCTAAATGTGAAGTTCTAGGTGAATTTGTTTGAGAGAAAATGGAAGGATTAGTGTAGTCTCTCAAGGCGGAATGAGATTAATCTTCAAAAAAGAAATCAAACAATGATTTCAAAACAAATATGGAGGACAGAGAGAGAAAGAGAGGAGGTTACCTTCACAGGCCTATAAAGACTGATAAAAGCAATACTTCAATATTCATTGAAGAATTTCACACAAGGAAGGCAATAACTTAATTTAAATTTTGAAAATATCTCTTTGGCTAGAAAGTGAAAAGGATAGAAAGAAGACTTTCAAAGGTATATTACAGTTGTCAATGTTTACATTAATTGTGTAGGGGCTAAGATAGTAACAGTAGAAAATGAGAGGGCAGGGAGATATTTAGGATAAAAAAACTGACAATGGTTTTTTTGTGGAAATATAGAATGGGATATTATTCTAATTATCTAATCTTTTGGGCATGGATGGAAGGCTCATTTATAAATACCAAAGAGATCAGGGTAACAAACTTGTAAGTGAAGATGATGAGTTTTATGCTGAACATGCTGAATTTGAAATGCTTATTTGAAATATATGTATTTGCTTTAATTTAAAATACAGGAGAATATAAAATTTATAGAGAAGATAAACACCAAGAATTGGACCAGTACAGGGGGCAGGGTACTTGCCTTGCATGGAGTCAACCAGGATTTTATCCCTGGCTCCCCATATGGTCCCCTGAGCACCGCCAGGAGTGAACCCCAAGCACAGAGGCAGAGTAAACTCTGAGCACTGCCCAATGTGGCCCCAAACAAACAAAGTGATAAATATCAAATATATTAATATGGGAATATTGTGAATGTATTCTTTAAAAGGACAAATCTCATTACTAAGGAGTAGAGAGTCCAGGCCAAGGAGCAGAGGCCAAGGAGGCTGATCGCTTGTAGTCCATGGCAGTTGCATCCTCAGGACATCTATGTGATCCCCTGAGCATTGCCAGGAGCCATCCCTGATCACATAGCCAGGAGCAAATCCTAGGTACATCCAGGCCCTACCCAACAAACAAAAGCGAAGAGTAGAAGCAACATGCAGATTTTTTTTATTGGAATTTTTTGTTTGTTGGTTTTTGTACTTTTGGTCTGTCCCCAGTTAAACTTATGGCATACTCCTGTCTCTATGCTCAGGGATCATTCTTGGAAGTGCTCAGGGGACCATATTGGTTCTAGGCATGGAACCTTGGTTGGCAGTTTTTCTACTTCTCTCGCCCTTAATTAGAATATTTTAAGTTGGTAAAAGGTAAAGGTAAAGGCCCTCCCGTTGATCGTCGATTTGCTCAAGCGGGCCCAGTAACGTCTCCATTGGAGACTTTGTTGTTACTGTGTCTGGCATATCGAATACTCTCGGTAGCTTGCCGGGCTCTCCGAGAGGGGCGGAGGAATCGAACTCGGGTTGGCCATGTTGGCCGCGTGTAAGGCGAACGCCCTAACCGCTGTGCTTTAGCTCCAGCCCTTTTAAGTTTTAAGTTCAACTATTTAAGTTCAACTTAAAACTATTTTAAGTTGAACTATTTAAAAAAATATCTTGACAAATCCCTCAAAAGGATTTTATCTCCCAATATCTTATTCATTGTATGCTCTCACAATGTTGTTGGGGAGTGTTGGGATTGCAGATTCATGTTGTGGATTCATCAATGTCATTCTTTCTCTAGGTCAAGAAAGCCACCTATAGAGGAAAAACTTCCTGAAAACTTAAATGCCGAAGATTCTGAACAGCCTGGTGAACATTTAATGAACCTCTCTCGTCCTGCAAACACTCTTACTGGAGAAATGTGACATTTGCTGTCATTGTAGGTATTTCAAATATGAGTCAGCCTTCCTTATTAAATGATCCATCACAGCAAGTCAATGTCACTGTCACTGTCCTCCCGTTGTTCATCGATTTGCTCGAGCAGGCCTAGTAGTGTCTTCATTGTGACAATTGTTACTGTATTTGGCATATTGAATAGTCACGGGTAGCTTGCCAGGTTTTGCCGTGTGGTTGAGATACGCTCAGTAGCTTGTCAGGCTCTTTGAGAGGGGTGGAGGAATCGAACTCGGGTTGGCCATGTTGACCGCTTGCAAGGCAAACGCCCTACCCACTGTGCTATCGCTCCAGCCCACTAACAGCAAGTAACATTTTTAAAATGGATGAAAGCAGTTTGGCTTATGTAATCCAGTTTCATTAACTTATGGTTCCAAGTGATGTTATTTTTATTTTAACATCTGAATACCTCTACTCACCCCCATGTCAGGTTCCCTTCCGCCATACCAAAGGAGTGGGTGCTGTAAAATGTGTTTGATTTTTCCTTATTAGTAATATGTGAATGTATCTTCACATATCTGTGAGCTCTTCAGGTTTCCCTTGTTAAGTGTGGTATCTATATCTTCCTGTGATTTTTAGATATTTTAATAGTTTAATTATTAATACTGAGTGTGATTATTTGTATTTTGTACCCCCTATTAATTATATCTCATTAATAATGAAATCATTAATTAGTTCATTCATTCTATTTCATTACATAATAAAATAAATAATTTTTTAACTTAAAACTATTAATGACATTGAAATGAAATTGAGGATTTTGTAATACTGAAATTTACTTCCATTTGAAGACCTAGTCTTTATTAATGCAAACTTTTTCATTTAATTTAATAGTTTGATGTCATGGTTTCCTTTACACATTATATCACATAGTAATTAATGTAGATACCATCTGCACAGAATGACAGTTGTGATTCTTCCTTTCCAATCCTCATTCTTTCTTAATTATTAAAGGATATTAATAAACAACAGTCATCTTTTGGGTTACTGTAATTTAATGGCTTCTTTAAAACTGCTACAAGTATGAACATTGTTGTAATGTTGGGTCACTAGATATATTATTTTTATAAAATATTTTATATATTTTATATATACAACGGCCAGGATCCAGAGATTATCACACCAAGCTCCGGGAGAGAACAAGGCAGAGTCTCCTACCCTGTGCCTGACTGTCCTCACCAGGGCCCAACAGCTGAAGACCTCTGGGCCCCAGCCAAGGTCATGCTGGGACCACTCTCCACACATTTGGATGAGCCTCATGCATAAAATATCTGGCAGAGGAACCCAGGTGTGTGGGACCGAGGCTGAGATCTCCAAGCCTGGACGGTTTGGGACTGGACCTGCCAGTAGCTAGACAGTTACACCCACCAACTGTTGTGTAACCCCAACAACGGCCAGGATCCAGAGATTATCACACCAAGCTCCCAGGAGCGTGTGGCCGCATTTGCGGCCGCGTGACTTTTTATTTACATTCATTTAATTTTTCAGGGTACCTTAAATATCCCACCCACACAGCAGAGCCTGGCAAGCTACTGTGGTCTATTTGATATGCCAAATCCAATTTAAAAAAATGGATCTTATTCCCCTGACCCTGAATACGACAGAGTCGAGAAGGATGTGGATAGAGAAGCTGATAAAATTCCAAGGCAGAAATAGGCTGCCAAAATGAAGAAAGACAAAAATGATCGTCTGTACTTTCAATGCACGTACACTGGCATCTGATGCATCCATTGAGGACCTGATGGTACAAGCACGAAAGATCAAGTACAACATCATTGGTATGACCGAAATGAGAAGACATCAATCACATCACGCTGTTTTCAACACTGGAGAAGAACTCTTCCTTGGAACATGTGACAAAAGAGGCGTTGGTGGTGTCGGTATCCTTGTCAATACAAACTTAGTCATGAGCATTGATACATTCGAATGCCTAACAACCCGAATTGAATGATTACACTTGAATAGATGTGGCTCACTGCCGGCAATTTCTATCTTTGTTGTCTATTCACCAACATCCAATTATGGTGAAAGAGAAATTGAGAAGTTCTACATGGAGCTGGAGAAGTTCTATAAAGAAGATCACACCTTCTACAAGATCATTGTTGGTGATTTTAATGCCAAGGTAGGACCAAGAAGATCAGCTGATGAACTCCACATCAGGACCCATGGCCTAGAATGGAACGAACAGGGTGACAGACTGTCTGAGTTCATCATGTCAACCAAGACCTTCCATGGTAACTCACAGTTCCAAAAGGCTGAATCTAAACGTTGGACATGGGAGTCTCCCGGTGGATGGTTCCACAATGAAATTGACCACATCATATTCAATCGGCGCTTTTGCCTATCCAATGTTGCTGTTGTCCCAAAATTCCAAACAGGATCGGACCACCGTCTCCTTCGGGCAAAATTCTACCTCACAGAACAAGGAGAAAAGAATGCAAAGTTTAAGAAGAGGACTCCCAGAATGACCACCAATTGGGAGCTCTTTGACTCTGTTGCAGCAACATGGGAAGATGCTATCATTGACAACATTGATGAGGAATACGATCGACTGGTTCAGCACCTCCATGATTGTGCGAGGAATGCCTAGAGAGAGATAACCACAAAAAACCACCTTTCTTCGAACACTCTTGAACTTATTCGCCAATGTGGCTTGGTACATGCCTCAGGCAACCGCAAGTGAACATCCAAGCTGGCAAAACAATGCAGAGAAGCCATCAAGGATGACCTCAAAGACAGGAGAGCAGCGGTGTGGTAGATGTGGCAGAAGCCGAGAAAAGCATTCGTAATGCCCGCCTGTCCTTCACCAACTACAAGACCAAGATGACTGCCCTCCGACATCCTGATGGATCTATCACATCTTCCAGAAGGGCAATGGAGAAGATTATTCATGACTTCTACTCAGATCTCTTTAATAGCCACATCCACTTTCCCACATACCACATTCTCCAAGTGTGGCTCAAAGACCAAGAAAAAGAAAAAAAAAGTTTAAACCACTATTTAGAATAGGTCTTAGATGGAGACACACTGGCATCTCATAGAGATTTGTTTCAGGGTCTGAATCTCAGATGGGCATCCAGTTTGTGTGCAAGTTGGAGTTGTAACCATGGCAATGAAGAAAGAAACCTTCAGTTCTCTTGATCATGTGGGCTAGCCGTTAATGGATCTGTTCCCCTCAAAGTGCTCACGCTTGCGTGAAGCAGTTGTTGGAGGGTGCACAGGACAGGTTGAATGGGGAACCTCTGGTCCAGTCTGAATGACCATTGCCGGACCAGTTTCCTTTGTCCAGGACCCCATTGGTGCTTCTAGTGAAGGTTTCTGGTTGGCTGGATTCCAGAGTGGCTGATCCCACTTGGTGAGGGGCCAAGCATGATAGTGGCTTCTGATTCAGCTGCTGCAGGGTTGTGGGAGGTAGTGGAAATGTCAACAAATTCTGCACGTCTGAACATGATGGCATATTGTCTACAGCCAGTGCCCTGAGCTCTGGCACTCGGGTCCTCAGAACTAGCAAAAGGTTCTTGCATCAAGGTCTGGGACCTGGTTCAGCAGATGATACAAAATTCATAGCAGGCTCTCTGGAGGGATTGCCGTGCGACTGTCTGTTCCAGAAGGATCCATGTTTCTCTCATGTAGTGGGAACCATAAAATTTTACTCAGGGATACCCACTGTCCCAAGCCAGCTTCATAAACGACATCATTACAGAACATCTCACCTTCTGCTTACCATACTGACCTGGCATCCTTAGCAGAATCAAGGCTTTGCTTTGGGCAATGAGAGTGGAAGCCCTGTGGCGAGCAAGCTTGGGAGCTCTGTGCTCACCAAACCTGTGCTGAGCCAGTGAGTTAGTGAGCTGTCTCTCCTGGCACAGGCGCTCTCTTTGGCTTATGTCAGTGAAGGCTGCTCACTTGCCGGCGTGACAGAGTCTCGCAGAGGTGTTTGGAAGTCAAGTCTGCAGAGATTTTTTGAGAGGTAACACTTGTTCCCCACTCAATCACTCTCTCATTGCCTCATAGCCCCGCCAGGAATGATCCTTGAGCATGAGCTATGAATAAGCCCTGAGCACCACTGGTTATAGCTCAATAAACCCCTCAAAAGAGTAGAAGACATAACAAATGATACGCACACATATATATACACACACACATATATGTATATGTTTGTGCATGTGTGTATACTAAAAGAGATTGTATATACACTCTTGAGAATAAGTATAATTATATGCAATAACATGTATGAATTTATCACATATGCTTAGATACATACAGGGTCATACTACATGATACAAAAAAAATTAACAGGTAAATAGGAAAGTGTAGGACAATATTGGTTTGTCCTTTCTGCCTTCCCACAGGGAACTTAAGTTTATTGGGTCACTCCCAGCATAGTGCTCCCATTCCTCTGTGTGTATTTATAAACCCTTTCACTGTGCTCTGCTTTCCCAAGCGGTCAATCACTTTGATCTCCTTATCACAGTCTGTTAAGTTGTAAATATTGCTTTTTTCTTTTCCTTATGTCGTTTGCCTAGTTAACTCAGAGCAAAGTCCTTTTTGTACAGACAGGAAGACAGTTAAGGCTGTGCTTTTGTAACTTGTGAATTAATTGACTCCAAATGATATTCACTCCTGGGCATCTGTTTTCTCGACTTATGCCTCAGCTGCCCTTACTTCCTAGCACCCCAAAAGCAGATTCTCAATGAGGGACTGGATGGACCCAGGGCAAGTTGTGAGCTCCCCTGGCATTGAAATGGGCCAGGCCAAAGTGCCATAATAGTTAAGCATGTTCATGGACAAATTCTGTCATAATCCAAAAGTAACAACTAGATTAGGACCCTGTTAGGATAAGGAAAGATTAATCTGGCCTGAGCACTGTAGTCTGGGGCATCTCTCTCCTGGGACATCTATTGTGAGATGCCCCAGGAGAGCCACCCTACAAGCTTAATGTATCTCTTACTGTGTCCATACAAAATATCTA